GAGCGGCGGGTTCAATGTCTTCTTGTTTTATGTTTTATGGTTATTTTGTTTAAATTTTTGATGGGGGAGAAAAAAAAGTTTAAAAAAAAAAAAACTTTGTCCGACCTACCGACCCTATGCTGAAATTTCATGTTACCGGAAACACACTATCTTTTTTGTTTGGCCTTATTACACTCACACCCTGAAAAGCCTACTCCCAATCTGGGTCACTGCACCAATGTAGCAGAGCAACCCCGCGCCATCCAGCCCTGCTAATTCAGCAGCCAACACCCTCGTTGAGGGCTCTGAGAAGTGAGGTTTTATGTTTGATACACTCATGCAGCGCAAACTGGCAGCTGGCACACCCGGAAGACTCAAAATTATCCATATGTGTTGGTATAAATGATTGCTTGATCATTGCAACATAAGTTTAATATGGGCCTTGGAGTACCAAACTAAAATCGTACACCACCCTTGTGTGAAAGGCAAAATTCGCTGGAAGGGATCAGTAGTTATTGGTTTCCTTTAATTTACGTATTAATGATTGGATCGTATAATTATTACACAGGCAGAATGGTTGGGTAATCGGCCTGTGGGCAAGCTACCGTGGCTTTTGGAGCCGGCATGTTTGGGCCTTTTTAAATATAGAATCTAGCCCAGCAATTACACCAGACCATGATGATGTCATCCCACGTCCTCACTTGGAACTCACTTGAGCTCTGCGAGAAGTGTATACTGTTGTACATTTGCATATAAAATGATTGATCAGCCTCACTTTATGCTAATATCATTTGTCTATCCCCTTGCATGCCAAAATAAGTCACTGCCTCGAATTTCACAAGTGTTAAGACTTGTTGTCCTAAAGGAGAGCAGAACAGTGAGAGAGAAAACCTCCCATACGACCAAATATGATATTAAGGTGATATGAACAATATAATGAAAATAATAAATAAATATACCAACAATTCAACCCGACAGATAGCTTGATTAAAAGGTGGCTACTTATTAATTAGTACGTAGATTATTAAAAGTGCCCTGCGACTGACTGTTGACCAGTTCAGGGTGTAGTTCAAATGAAATGGGTATTTTTAAAAATAATAATAATCAATCATTCATTCCTTTACACAGTCACAATTGATTACTTTGATTGTCCCTCATGTTGGAAGCTTTGTAAAATGTCAGTGGGATTAGGTGAGTTTCTATCAACTCACATCTCCTAGCAACCATCCCCAAAATAGGCCGCTGCCCCTCAGATTCCACAGTGAGGGTGTGAGCAGGAGGAGGAGGCCAAACATAAAGCTTGTGACATCACACTTCCTCATTTTAGCATTTCTAGCCACACCCAAGCCCTGCCCACAGGTGGCGTTGCTGCTGTCAGTCAGCTCCTGTCACACGGCTGCCACCCCTCCCTCCACTCCACTGAATGTTTGTTATGCACACACACACACACACACACACACACACACACACACACACACACACACACACACACACACACACACACGCTCCTCCCTGCCTGCCTGCCTGTGCGACATGAACTTTGGAAGCAATGAGTCGCAGGCTGTGTCGCCAGTGCTACCAGAAAATTCTTGAGTGATTGCTTTTTTTGCGTGGTGGTGGAGGGCAGCCTTCATCTGTACTTTCTTGTTCTCACCCATCCAGGACAACATTAACGTCTTCCGCAAGGCCTGCCTCAAGATCGGACTCAAGGAGGCGCAGCTCTTTCACCCCGGAGACCTCCAGGACTTGTCGTCAAGAGTCACAGTCAAGTGAGTGGCTAACTTCTGCATATCCCAAGTATGTTTATTGTTTGCTGTTTTTTTTGGGTACTGAATGAATGAGACATTTTTAATGTAGTTCCACACTGTTGCACTCTCACAGCACATGTGCATGTTATTCATTACAACTGGCGTCAGTGCCCTTTGGCAGTTGGCCAAATAGCCTTAAAACTACTTCAACAATTTCCGCAAAACATTATCACATGAAGAACCCATTGAATTTTTGCACATATCCATAAACAAATTTTCCACTATTCTTCAAAATGTAGTATATTGGATTGTTAATTATTTAGTGATGCAAAAATGTCAAAATTCAGGCAAAACAGATGATACAATACATCCTGATTTATATAGCGCTTTCACAACAGCTGCAGCTGTAACTAAGTGCTGAACAAAATGGTTAACATAAAGTAAAATAATAAACACAACACAACATAAAACACGGACGTTTGTCTTTGTTAGCAGGATAATGCTCAAACAACTCCTCTGGGATGGGGCATGGAAGAGTTTAGAAAGATAGAGATTCTCTGTATATATATAATTTTTTATTAGATATTTTGCATCAAAATTATATTTTTTATGATAATAAATATTATAAATGACAATCATTTTATTTTTATATTAAAAATGTTTTTTTCATCCAGATTTTATAAATTTTTGTCAGCAGTTTTACATAAATACTACTAACCCAGAAGACCGTATTAATATTTGATGTGGCTGTGCCAGGATTCATTTTGCACGTGTTCTGATGTTCCAAAGGGATTATTTGACCTTGATCTGCACTGTGTTGCATATCATGCCCAGGATCCAAATAAATGTTATTTTCTCCCCCATACTTGTTATTGTGAAACAAATATCAACATTAATTTCTGACTGAAAAGTGTATCAATCTTTATCACCAAAACAAGGTGTATGATGGAGGTCTGATGTCGACTGTGTGAATGCACACAATTTGTTGCTGATCCAAAGTGTGGTTGTTTGGCCTTGACAGAGTGCCGTTCTAGTTTGACATGTATTTTCATGTTGAAACTATGTGTTTGTTTTTTCGGGGTTTTTTTTTTTTGATGAGATATGATTCATTGATGCAGTCTCTGGCATGTTTTGATCATGTCACTCCCATTGGTTGGAGGAACTGTTAAGTCAGTTTAGAGGAATAAAAGTGAGGCCCTCATCTGGGTTGTTGCTACAGTACAGTATTATAGTCAAGTCGATGACATTTCGACATTGTTTGTTGAAGTTTCGGTAGTGTGGCTAGCAGAGCGGCATGTCGAACAACCAGTTCGTTTTTTGCTCTCGGGTGAGCCTGCAGGATGAAGCTGAATAGGTGAGGCGTGCTTTTCAGTTGTGTATGGGATGGCTGCTGCAGAAGCAGTAAGGTTTTGACATGCTTGACAACATTGTAGAGCCAATGCTTTGTATGTATATAGCGATACAGTCTGTATACACACACACATATGTAAATATCCTTTAAATTCTGCGGTAGAGCAGCGCCTGTTGGTTTGGCATGCCCTTTTTTTTTGTTTGTGAAGTTAAAGGGGATGTTTTTTCCCCCAGCACTACTGTTGTGGACAGATTTTTTTTGTCCTTTTAGCTTTGTGGGAAAGTCAAAATTGTTTTTAAAAATACCCGTGACCTTGCGGCCTTGGTGCGTCGTAACGGTGCTCATTCTGTCAGACGTCTGTCAGTACTCCTTGCCGCAGGCAGCTTGCTGCAAACCATTTTTTTCCCCCCATGATCCACTCTGGGCTGGATGAGCTATGCCTGTTTGATGCCAAAAGTGATGTTGAAAGCACATTAAAACACACAGAGATCAACTGTATGTACACTAAACAAACAAATCTGCCACGGTTATCATGACACACCCTCCAAGCTAACAATGGTGCCCTATGGTATCAGTGTGTCAAACTCTTACTTTATGGAGCTTTGGAATGAGTCATAAACCTGTCGTTTATCTTCTTGGCCACTTCTGCCATTGCTGTCTTGTTCCATGTCTTCCTTACTTTCTTTGAAAATATGTTAACAATATTGAACCTCAAAGGTGTTCGTTGAGCCTGAGGTATTTATTGTTTTATGTAGGGCGGGGTGGAAAGATCTAAAAGGGAAGTATTGGGCTGAGAGGAGTGCTCGCCTTTACTCTTAAAACAAGAAAGTTCTATTCTCTATCTTGTTGCAACCTTTCAGTATTTACACTGGATTTTAATGTACGTATATGAACCATTATTTTTAACTTATCGAAGAGAAAAATAGTATATTATTTTAAATATGTAATGAATGCCTGCCCGCCCAAAATATTTGTCATTAAATCTCAAGTACTGCACATTATTTTAATCAAACATGTTTATTTATTTGTGGGGGGGGGGGAAGCCCTTATCCTCAAAAGACGCTTGACGTACTGCTTATTATAATATGTATTCATTCGACCCAGTTAAATAATTTCTTTTTGGGGGACATTAAGCTAATATAATATGATTTAATATTGCATCTTATCCCCTCTACAGTTGATTACAACGTCTCTAGCAAGCCCCTATATGAGGGGAAACAGTCGAGTGCATTTACGCCAATGGACTTTCTCCAATTTACAAGTGCACTTTGCAATCGCAATTGTCAAGTTGTTTTCTTTGCCACCATGTGAGAAAAGGGGAGATGAGGTGGAACCCCCGTCCTATTATTAGGCTATCTGGAGGGTTGATTTGACACGCAAGATTGTCAAGATTGATTGGAATGATATCGTAACTCTGTAGAGGAGCTTTAAATAGCATCCTCTCATCCACCCCACTGCATTCTGCAATGCGTACGGGAACGATCTTACACCTGTGGGTGTTTTGCGAGTGTGTTTTATCCATAAAACAGACATGAATAGCATGTGTTTGAATTTTGGGGGAAAAGAACTCAGACGTGTGGGTGTAAAATTGTATCGGCCGTGTTTCCCATCACAGGACTTTATGAGTCGAGTGTAACTAATGTAAGAGTAGGCGGGAACACTGGGAGGAGATAATGTCTTACGTCTTCATTTAAGTTGATTAGAGCGCAGCAAGAGAAAGTGGTCATCGACAGCTGTCTTTGCTGTGTGTCCAAACTCCTCCACCCCGTGAAGCCATTGGGACCCGTGCTATTCTCGGCCTGAATTTCCCTTTTACACTGCAAAGTCCCTCTATAAAGGCATTGAAATCGAAGCAGGCAGGCCTTCCATTTTATGGGTCCTCACAAATTGAATTAACGATAACTGTACTTTACAGTTAATTCTATTTCTAAGGGCACACACATTCATTACATCTGCCGGGCACAATGGAATATGTTCGGTTTTCACCTCCGTCTGTATGACAAGTGGAATCTCTTCCAAAGCTCTCCATGGTGGTGCTTTGAGATACGAGGCCTCGTTCAACCCATTTTTTTTTTCTTGAAAGAACAGACTTGAGATACAGTACGAGCGGAGTATGGGGGCAAAGACAAACACACTTTACAACAAGTAGCAGTTGTGTATCTAGTGAACAATTTATCCCCCCCATCCCCCATCCAAAAAAAAGTTTCAAGCTCTTTATTACCACAAACTTAATATCAAATACAATAATGCAGCAGGTACTTAAAGTATGCTATGATTGAGAACCTATTGATGGGCTAACCTGGTTTGAGTATGATTGAGAACCTATTGATGGGCTAACCTGGTTTTGTTTTTCTATCGAAAGAAAAACAACATACGAAAAACACAAATGATATGTTGGAGGGAGACGCAAATGAACCTGTGTCTCAGCAGTCGACGAAAACATATACATGCATACATATGCATACATTATCAACATATACATACATCTTTATTGATATCACAAAACTGCAGGTGTAACAAAGCGCTACACGGGACATTAAAATTAAGATGACAATTATAGATGAAAGAAGAGAGAATCAAAGTCTCCTTTCACCGGTGGTTCAGAGACGTCATGATATCACACACATTCCACATGTGGATGCATATGCTATGTGTGCTAAGCTAAATGTAAACTGCCCATTTGTAATTGTGTTGACCTGCTGGGCGGAGCTTCAGAGGGACACAAGCTTTCAGTTCCACCCCGTCCGTCTCGGTTCTTGCATTGTAATGCTTTGTATTTTGTATTTTGTTACATTCAATACATACATTCAACTTGACGTATGTCATGATATTCGTGAAATGTGGTTTTAGATTAATCCAAAAATGTGTTTAGTCAACCTGAATAGATACAACTTCCCATCAACTCCTCCGCCAACCATTAGCACAGGTACAAAAAGAGTGAAGCATATCAAAACCACATAGGAAGTTCAAAGCAAGAAGTGTTTGAACCCTCAACCAAACTAGTGAGAGAATTTCCATGCTGCTCGACTGGTTTACCATCGAAATGGAATGTGTTGCAGCAGAATGTCAAACGATCATTCTGGCTTGTGTATCGACTACATTGAAATATTACAAAACTTCAGACCTGGGTAATGATTGTTACAATTGTTCCGATGAACTTGTCACATGCGTATGAAGTTGCTGCAACAACCATAAAAGCATTTATCAGATGTGTGTGTGCTGACCTTTGAGCTTTGTGATGATTCTACTGCCTCATGGTTATGCATGCCCCCTCTGATTGATGAGCTGTTATCACTGATGTAAAGTACAGACAATATGAAAAGTGTCATAGGGCAATAGTCAGCGTTATGGCAGACATGCCAGTGATAAGAGCATTTTTTTCTGTCCCTTAAAAAAATGACCAGGCCTGATTCATCATGGTGGAGGTTCTGATTCACCACCGTCTTAACACCAAATCTTTCCTTTTTTTTTTTTCCTATTCGGCTGACAGGGAAATTAAAGTGTTCCAGATGAATCATGGAAACTATTTCACTTCACCGTGAAACTACAGCATGGGAGAGCAGCCTTCAGGAGATTGTAGCATCAACTAGCTTGTAGCTTGTGCTACATTGTAGCTTACAGGCTCATATTTAGTTGTTGATATCTTGAGTACTATATACTACCTTTTAAATAGCTTATAAACTACTAGTTAGTTACATGTAGTTAGTAGCTCGTCACGTATATTATGAGGTCGAACTCATCCCCAACCATAACACCCCCCGCGCCCCATAGTTGTGCAGCGCAGTCAGGGGTTGCTATGAACATATATTTTTAAGATAACAATAACAATGTTCAATGTTTTTACAGGTAAGGTACTTTTTGTAGTATGATCAGTAAAAAAATATATATATTTATCACTCCAACATATGTTGTGACTGAGCAAGAGTTTGAGTTGACTTCCAACTAGCTTGAACCAAGTAATGATTTGACTAAAAATTTGGTGATGAATGGACTTGGCTTGCTTATTTATTTCGTTTTTTTTTTTTCCCAGTGACTTGGACTTGCTTGAGAGTTGATGGTTATGACTTGAGACTTTCTTGTGACCTACACGTATGTTACTTACTCCCACCCTTGGCGCTTACACCATCCTCTGAAGAATATAAATGAGCAGATAGATTAGATTTACTTGTTTCTAAAATTGCTGGCTGTTCACCCACAAATAATGCTCGTATGTGAATGCAAACAATAATGGACAAGAATGAACTCTGCGTGCGTGGGTGTGGTAGCTTCATGCTTTCCTACGTGGCCTCACTTGGAAGTGCGGCAGCATTTGGTGATGGTGAGCCCATCATAAACATAAATGAGGGTGGTATTATTCGTGGTGAAACACCAGACCTCATTTACTCCCTCGTTATACACTTGAAGACATAATACGATGCCTGGCACGGGTGCCTCCTCTGTTCAAGAGTTGCATTATGGTGTGCGTGCGTGCGTGCATGCGTGCGTGCGTGAGGGAGAAAATGTGCCTGTGCACACCCGTGCTTGTGTGAAACCAGTGAATGAAAGCGCACTCATCAGTGGCGTTTCAGATGAGGTGGTGAATACACCAGTGCAATTTATATCCATCGAAAATTGTGCAGTTTTTGGTGATATTACAAATTTTAAAATATATATTTATACATAAGTGTTACATTTAACAAATATGATCAGCTCTCAAAATTGCACTTATTGTGTGCAGTGTACTGAGTGTAGTATAGTCCACTGTATAACCGCCTGTACATATGCTAACATTTTGTTGATCTCTGAGCCCTGTCTCTACGTCATGTGTGTGTTTGAACGAGAAGTTTGCACAAGTGAAAGGATGAGCATGTGTGGAGCTGCAGGGTTTCCTGTGGGAGCTTCCAGTAAGAAGGCTTTGTAAACATTTGCTTTCACTCGTATAACATTTTTAAAAATATGCTTACACACTATATAATAGAATAGAATGGAACAGGAATCAACTAACTATACAGCTGATCACGCTGACTGTCAGCTGAGGGTAAAGCAGCAATGCCCTCAGGTTTTGGACCCACTGAAATAGTTATTTAGAGTTCAGTTTTGAAGTTAACATAGTACAAGAGAACGGTGCATGGCTGGCTAAAACCCCTCATACAATGTAGCATACATCACACGAAGTAACCCAGTTCCAGTGGGATCTATATTTGTGCCTACCGCAAGTCTGGTATGCAGCACGGTTTAACCGTGTGAAGGGGCACGCTACACCAAGTTATCTTATTTTCAAAAATGCATTTAGCTTGGCGCAGTTAGAAACGGACAGTTTGCGCCATTGTGGGTGTGAACATAGCCAAGTTGCTTCACAGCCAATCAAAGCGGTTCCTCTCATTCCCTTTAAAATCAGTGTGCGAGAGGTGCATAGTCCTTTACATTGCAGAAGCAGAAACTGATTTGCAGGAGTCCATGCAATGGGTCAGCGCGCACATTATAAGGAACTGCAAGCAGACCTCCATGGGCACTGCCTTCCACCCCGATAGTGTTTTGTACATGTCCATGTGTCGTTTGATTTCAACAATGATTTAGAGTGTTTGATGCATGCTGTGTTTATATTTAAATACAATGACATCCACCACACATGTCTGTGGATGTACTTGCAGAAGCTGAGGAGGAAGTTAGGTTTTGAATGCTCTTATTTTTGTAACATGTTAACAGAAATACAGAAGTGGACAGTGGAAAGGGGTGACGAGACTACATGGAACAAGCAAAACAGAGACTAGCTAGACATGTGAATTGCCACAAGCTGTTTCCAATACTGTACAGTACTACATTTTTACTACAGCAATGTTTAAAGATATTCAGAAGTGGTTGAAATTATGATTATGTGACGTGATAAATGATAGTTTGTGTTTTACTTGTGTTCTAAACTAAATTAATATTGGCAATTTCAACTTTATCTCCTCTCACAAATTATATCACCTTTGCGGGGTACATCAGTTATTTGAAGAAGTTTGTCAATCACAGCCCGGCTTGATCCCTATCCCATGTTAAATTTATGCATTTAAACAATGTATAAGTTGAATGCATGTATTTAACGTTTGTCCAAAGAAACCAGCCATTTAAGAAAAAAAAAACTCACATTTTGCAAGTTCTTTTACATCAGCATACAGACAAAGCCTGGGGATCTGTTTTCCAGGTTTGGTCACGTGCTGTTCTGCATATAGACGATTAATAATCCAAAGGAAAAAAACAAGTCATGAATATTGAGTTAGAGTTTGCAATTTCATAATGCATTCCCATTAATTATTCCAAAGTATCCTATCAGTGATACTGACTCTGTATTTCTTAGTATCGGATTGACACACTATTATCACTAACCACTTGAACTTGTACAATTGAGCCCAAGTTTATTGCCAAGAATGTGCACAACACAAACAAGGAATGTGTGTAGCTCCAACTCTAGCATTCATTATCAAAGTCACTCATATCATTATTACTGTTTAATCAACCGACTGTCCTTGTTTTATGCCCCGCCTACAAAAAGCCTAGCCTGACAGGTGTATCAGTCAGGCTGCATGGAAACGAAGGCATGAAAGCGGGGAGGGCACATGTGGCAATTGGGTTTACACGTGATGACACAAATGTGTGAGTGTAAATTTACAGTATCTCGCCACTCGTGTCCTGTGTGAGCCATTATCAGTGTTTATGGGCCCCTCTGAATAGAGATGACACGCAGGCAATTGCGACCGTACCTTTACTATGCTTAAAGAAAGTCATTTTCACTTCTCAGATTGACGCTGTCAGCTTTGTTAGGTGACGTGGAAGAAATTCAAACCTGTGTTATTTATTTATTTATTTAATAATTTGTTGCTCACAGCAAAGCCTTGTGTGCTGAAGTAAACCAGTTTATTTTTATGAAGAGGAGCAAAAACATACAATTATGTCACATTGACTGTCACACAAGACCATTTGTCAACAACAAATCCAATGAAAAACGTTAAAACATAATTCGCAACATTCTACCTATTGAGCCCTTTTACAAGCATTTTACAGGTAGCTATTCAGGAGCTCGCTCAAAGCTAACGTAGCAGCCTACATTTTTACTCAGTGCTCCGGTACCTGTTCCGTCTGAGAATACTGTCAAGCAACGGGAATGAGATCAAAGAATGGAGCAGACCTGCTTCACAAGTCACAAACATGTTCACCGACCAGTTTTGTATAGCTAGAAGCTAAAGTAGCAGTCTGTATTTTCACACTTTGCACATTTTTGACAAACATCACAAAAACAAGATGTGGGAACCTCTTTCTCAAATGACAAGCATGTTAGCTCGCAAATTGGCTGATGTCTCGCAAAGCTAACACAGCAGTCTAATTTGTCAAATTCCACAAAGACAGGGAGTACAAGCCAGTTCCGCAAATGACAAACATCTTTGAAGTTAGCCCATCAGCAGCTGGGGGCCAACGCAAGAAGCTAACGTAGCAGGCAAAATTTTGATCAATGTTGCGCATTGTCAGCACAAACAAATGGTCAAATGCACCATACCAGTCACAGACAATGACAAAGCCCTTTGTTCACAAAAAAAAAAAAAAAATGTTGAGTCTGTTTGCTGGAGGCTAGCACGGGAAACTGACAGCTTAGTTTAAGCTTAATTTCATTTTAGTTTCTTTCCAGTTATTTGATTATTTTTGCAAGTCAGTTAAAAAAAACAACAGGGCCCAACAAATAAATAAGTGCTTCTCAATGATTCCCTACGTGATGGTATTTTCAGGAACGTGTGTGTGTGTGTGTGTGTGTGTGTGTGTGTGTGTGTGTGTGTGTGTGTGTGTGTGTGTGTGCGTGTGTGTGTGTGTGTGTGTGTGTGTGTGTGTGGTGTTTTCTCAGCCTTTTGTGTTGTCGTGTGAAGGGCGGGCACTGTAGTCTGGCCTGTGCTGTCACTTTCTAGCGCTTTCAATGCCCATATTTTATTGTCCACTCTCTCACACACACACACACACACACACACACACACACACACACACACACACACACACACACACACACACACGCACTGTATACGTACTGTATACGTACACACACAGTGACCTCTCTTTTCTAACTTTTCACTCTCACAGGGACGAAGAGACCGACCGGAGACTCAAAAATGTGAGTTGTGATTTGTTTGTATGTGACATTGCAGTTTACAATACAATACATTTTTATTCATATAGTGCTTTCAGTACAGCTGCAGCTTTAACAAAGTGCTTTACTGGACCGTTAACATCAAATAACATAATACAACAGAACACATAACATAAAACATGGACAGACATACAATCGTAACAACTATTCCTGCATACGGCTTGTTTAGGTTGTCGTCCGCATGGTAATTATTCAAAAATATTAAACATGTTTAAAAAAACAATATGTGAGTAGTTATTTAAAAGTCCACATAGAAAACGTATTTTTGAAAAGCTAGTAGGATTTGTGTGATATCGTTTAACACATGTTACAGGCTTATAAAAAAGATGTGTGCGCTGCAAATGGCCTCTTGGCCGGACTTTGGCCACCCTTGTAGTGCTATATATTTAGTATATTAACTTTTGCTATTAGATTTTAAATTGTTTCTTGCAAAAAAAAAAAAAAATGTGTCCACCAGTGAATTGTTCAGTCAGTTAGTATATCGGTGAGCTAGATTTTTTTTTTTTTTTTATTAATTATTTTGTGAACTCATTCCAAAACCTCAGATATTTCATGTACGTTTGTATACTGCAGGTGCTGATAACACTTTACTGGCTTGGTAGAAAAGCTCAGGGCGAGCGTTCCTATGATGGACCTTACCTGAATTTCAAGGCGTTTGAGGGATTACTTGGCACAGCACTTCACAAGGTAAGACCCCACATCAGTATATTAAAACAAGCACTTCATACTGTGTGGATATTATTGCAATCCACTTTCACAGCGACGGCACAGTGCATTCCTGTAGGCTCCCTTGGTGTGTAAAGGATAACCTGACATGCATGCCGCATGGGGGAGTCCGAGCTAAGGGCATACTTAGGTTAAGTAATATACTGTATGAACCCATGGCTTCACGAGGTTATTTAAGTCCTGTTTACCAACTTGCTCACTGTCATCGTCATGTGACTGGACTGGTCTGGGCACATTTTGTACATGTAGCAGTAATACTGTAATGTTCCTCAACCTGGGATTGGGTGTGTTGCAAGTGTGCAATGCCTGTTTCATTGAAAATGAACTTCTTTAACAGTGTTTAAGAGTGACATCTATGTGAGAGTATTTTTGTTAGTTCGGTGGTCACTGACATCATTGAAACTGAGAGCTACTTCTTGAGGAGTGATTCATGCCAATGTCTGCGAATTTGATACACAGTTCTGAAATAAATTTGCTCAAATGAGTGTTTACTTTTCATGATGTGATTATTACGAATAAAAGATTTTCGTGAATACACTGATCATGATTTCTCACAATAATTAGGAAACAGTATTACTATAAATGTCTGCCAGTGTTTACATTTTCAAATGATCAATTCTACAACATTCCTGGAAAATCACAGCGCCATCACTGGTCAGCTATTTTTAGAGGCCCGCCAGCTACTCATGTGATCCTTGGGGGTTACCTGGTGCCCCCGTACACCACCTTCTTGACCCCTGGTTTAGTTTGTGAATTAGTTGGTTGTCAGACAGCTAGTTAATTTGGGGGTTTGTTAGTTCATTAATTGGCTATTCAATTACTTATTTTGCTACTTGTCACATGTTTAGTTCGCTACCTCACTACTGAGATAATTATCCAGCTAGTTACATAACTAATTAATGTGTTAGTTAGTTTTGTAGTTTGTTTGCTAGTTCAGTAGGCATAGTCAGTTAATTAACTAGTCAGAATCTTAGTCCAATTTTTAGGTAGCTTCTCAAGTTGTTTTTGTTTCACACTCTATACTCAGTTTGCTAATCAGTTAATTAGTTTGTCAGTTAGTGATGAAGTATTGACATTGTGTTTAATATTGCAGCTGTCGTCTTTGCAAAGCATGAAGCGAGAAAAGAGGTGATGCTTTCATTGCGGTTTGTTGGTCGGTGAATTAGCAAGATAATACTTTTTGGTGCAGAACAAGAAGTGTGCTTGCATGGGGAGAAAGTGGGGTAGTGACCTGGGTGCCACGCTACTGAGAACTCCATCAGCGAAGTAACAAAAGTAAAACAGACATTGTGATTTGTGCATTCCATAAAAACCATGTTGAACTGAACTGAACTGTACTTGTTGGACACTGAGGTTTTGTACAAATGCAAAAGCGAGAGGCCCATGGCCAAGCGAGGTCATACTCCACAAGGGAGTGTTCTCATGCACACCCACGCATACTGGAACAAAATATTATAACTGCTTGTAATAATGTTTTTTTTTTCCCCCCTCAATCTTAATGTGTGTGTTGAAAGGCTCTACAAGAATTGTCTGGTCAGAAAGGCAACAGCGTCCAAGACAGTGATTTGGGAGATAACTGGTATTCAGAACGAGAGGAGCGTCACCAGTTAAGAGGAAGAGGAGGTGGACACAGGAGAGAGGATTCGTTGGACAGTTTGGACTCTCTGGGCTCCCAGACGCTTAGCTTCTCATCGGACGCCACACTGAAAGGCAGCAGCGAGGGTAGGACATGTTCTACCATAAATATTTAACCTCATTTGCTGGATTGTCAAATATTAGTAGGGCGGCAAGCTGTGAAAAGTTGACTTCGTTAAAACAAACAGCTGCCTCCCTCTCGTGGTTTGATTCAGCAAGGCAATGTTTTTGTTGAAAGTTCACTGGCGATTAGAAAGCAAAATAAACATGGAGAGAAGTCACATTATTGTTCGCCCACCCCCCTAAGATTGGAGGTGTGACACATTCCACAGTGCTCCACACTGACTTGTAAATGAGCCAGCTTCCAAATGAGCGGAAAAAAGGTTCTATACTCTTGCCAGAACACCAATCCGCCCCCTTCCCTTTTTTTGTCTCACATCCCCTGTCTTGTTTTTTGACTGCCATTGCGATTTGACTCTTCAAGTCGACACAAAAGTTATACAATGTTTTTTTTAGAAGGTCCTACCGGTATTTAGCGGTTAATCTTCCAGAAATCCGGCCATATCGGATTACATATGTTTTACATAGCCAGAGAATGTCCTGTGTTAAACCAAATCTAACAACCAATGTTTTCATGTAAAAATGTTCACATTGTTTCTACATTGTTGTAATGGGCATCCAGCACATTTTTGCCCAATTTTTATTTATATTTGCTGATACGGTATTTTTGTTCATATTCACAGTCGGGGGAAACAATTACATACGGTATACGTATATTTTATGAAAATATGTGTCATATGTCTTTAGACAACCTGTCAGAAGAACAAAAAGTGAGTCTTGTGTGTGTTTTTTAATTCCACTGAGCTCTGTGTGGTTTACGGTGAGCCCAGTAATGCAGAATTTGTAACCGAATCAACCTTTTTATTGACAAATTTGAGCCAGAAATCTCGAAACAGTCTGATTATAACATCAGAAAATTACTGTACTTTTGTAATTTTGTTGATAGATTTTGTGTTTCTATCAAGTAATGTATGGTTTTAACACGTGACCCTCTTAAAAAAAAAAAGGCATAAAATCCGCAAATTTTCGGGGTGCTCGTATTTACTGTAGAGGTCATTCAGCACCCCCAATAATGGGCTTGAGACGCCTATGGCTGAAAGCCACACGCTATTTGTAGTGCCTGGTCATTCCATGTACCATATCTGTAACCGGTCACTAAGTGAACAAAGCACATTTGGCATCGTTACCATAACATCGGCGCATATGCGTTGAGAAATGGAAGAAATTATCAAGTATTACAGTTCGCTTATCCCGTTGCTGTGAAACTGAGAGACGGAGGCTACAGTGTTACCACAGTCTCCGCTTTGCTGCATTTTTTTCATTTTTTTTAATTTTTTTTTTTATTGCCGAGCCTCATCTTGTCCTCTTGAATAAAATGTGTCTTCATACCAGGAAGACAGAAGAGCCATGTTCTCCTTTTATTGTTGTGTGTTAGTGTGTGTCCTTCAGACTAATGTGTTTAATGCGACATGGTTTTCTCAGTTTCCAGTCGAACTAGATCTAACATCAGTCGTTTATCTTCTTCCACCTGATAGGTTGTTGCAGCGACGCCGAGGCCGACGCAGCTTTCAAGATGTCCAACAACAAGGAGTCTCTTTCTTACCGCCGCTCCGTCACCCTCACACCGAAGGTCACCACACAGTTCAACCAATTCCTGCCCACGAAAGACAAGGCCACAGGATATGTTCCCGCTCCTCTGAGGAAGAAACGGACCGAGCGCAACGATGACAATCGACGCAGCTGGGCCAATCCTGTTTCCATGGACGAAGATGACTTACCGATCACCAGGTACTGTACTAAACCTAAACCAGTAACTGAAGGCTGTGTTCGGAATCACTCCTCACACACTACATTGAGGAGTGTCGAACCCTTTTTTGGTGCAAGCCACAAATTGTTGTTGTGGATTCCCTCAGAAGGCCATAATGCCTGTAAAGCCATGTAAATAAATAAGTCCCTCGTAATTCCCAAATTGATGAATAAATAGTATTGAAACTAGAAGTGAAGGAAAAGTTTGTTTGGATCTATTCTGGATGTTAGGCACAAACTGTGAGTTGGAAAGGGGTGCAAGTGAGTCTGCCATTTCAAAGGCAACACAGGTTTGTGTTGCAATTTTCTATTTCGATCCTGTATCGTTATCCCCCTTAGAGTGTCCTCCATGTACCCTGCAATGCATCTAAAAAAAAGCAGTGAACAACCAATTCTCATTATTAACATTGTACAGTATCTGATGATGCATTGGACTGTTCAGGAGTTGTGGCTTCAAATGACCTTGGGCGGACAAATTGCTTTATTTGTAGTCAGTTTGTAAAATACAGAATATAGTGTTGCAAGGTGCGAAATACAATACAATACAATACATGCTGATTTAATAACTTCTTTCTCCACGGAGCAGTTTTGCTAATTACTGATTTAATTTGAGGAGCAACTTTCTAATTTTGAGAAGAGACCTGAAGCAAGAGTTTTGTAAAACAAAAACAAAAAAATCGATGATGAATGAATGAAAATTTGTTTATCTTTTTTTACATATCGGTGCCATAATTAACACTGTGCATAGCAGCGAACTGTATTTTTTGGTGTGAAAACATTTTCAGTGGGGCAGTTTCAAAGAACATGTCAATTTCAATCTAAACGTAGTAGTTCTGAATAAGTTGTCTCTTGGTATGGCTTCCCTATCTTTCCTCGTCATCCCTTTGTGAGAATGATACTTGTCAGAAGGTTCCGACACAGGAGTAACTTAGGGGCGAGTTCACGTGTTTAGCCACCCTTGTAGCCAGCCGAAGCTCATCGCTTGCTATTTGGTGTGGTCTAAGTAGCACCGAGCTTGCCTCAACCTCCGACTACCGCCGCGCAGAGGTGAGGTGCGCATCCAGCCCAGCAAAGCTTAAAACCTCTAATAAAAATGCAAATTTTAACTCGCAAACTGTGACGCGAAAGCTCTTATTGTTGTTATATTTTATGTTTTTCACGGAAGGTCGACCAGTTGGCGTTGATCTGGTACCTTGTAATTTTGCGACAGCAATGAAGTTATTAATGGCGATCTGTGGTGTTTGAAAACTGATTTTTCATTGACTGATGAGTAAAGTGTATGTAGTCCATTATTTAAAAAAAGTCCCTATATACTAATTAGGAAGGAAGGGATGAGTGAAGGATTCCAAACACAGTTCATGTCTTTGGAATTTTACATGGTGAGTTGTTTTCTTCCGATGCTGCTGTTTGTTCCTGGTCCAATGGTCCATGTTGGTACCGGTGTTGTGTTTCCTTCCCATTTCCTGCAACGGCACCCTCAGTGACGCCAGCCTGCCCCCTGGCAAAAGTTCCACATCCCCCAGTGCTCACCCACAATCTGCCCTTGATTACGAAAGTGGCAGCGACTCTGACTCAGACCGTCCGGACCCCGATGTCGTTATGGATGACCTGGCCAGCCGACGATTCCACAGCCCCCCACCGGCGCCCCCTGCCAACTTTTCCATACCCATCAGCCTGTCGGTTTTGGGTATGGCGCCCGCGGGGCAATGGCCGAGGGTGACTGTGAGCCCCAGTGTTGCTCGCAGGTCAGAGAAGCATTGGTGTGACTGTGTTGTGGCGAGCGCGCGAACATGGACGCTTCCTTTACACATTGAGTTTGTTCGTCGTAACATCGGGCGATGCCTTTGGATGTGCTCAAGCTAACAGCGCTGTTTGCTGTTTTGATTTTTTTTTTTTCTGTTTTGAGCCAGGTTGAGTTTCAGCTGCACAACTTTCATTTGCCCTGCCTGATTTTTGTGGACATTTTGACTGCATTTCGTTCGAAAGCTTGTGTTGAGCTGTTGAGGATCATTTGGCTCCTCCCTCTACTTTTGGTGTGCCGTGATTGCCTAACAAGCCAAATGCTTTCACACGCGTGATTGCGCCGTCCATCTCTCTCGAAGCAGCGGCGATGGTGGGGAACAAAGGGCCGAGCGCCGCCCCCCGGTGTCCACTGACAGCATTTTCAGTGATCCGTACGCCAACTCGGAGGATGAGGACGACGAGGTGGGCTACGCAGACCCTGTGCAAGATGACCTCTACGCCCGCAAGGTGGGAGCCAGAAACTTGGTGGCAGGCGATGCCTCCTACCACAAGTTCTTGCCCAAGTTGTGGACCCCCGAGGAGGACGTTCACATCCAGAAGATCAAGCTGGGCTCTCAGAGCAGACCGTGGTACAGGAAGATGCAAGGGTTCAGGTGTGTGAGAGTACAGGAATCCACATTGACTTTGGGCCCGATTTACTAAAATCTCAAATAGTTGCGCTAAATTACGTGTTTGCTCGAACAGATCATGGATGTGTAGCGTGTGATTTACTAAGAATGCAGTGTTTTACTAAGATCCTAAATAGAAAGTGTTAAATTGTGTGTTCACTCACTAGATTGTGCGTGCGGTTTGCAACAGGTGTATAAGTGTTGGAGATTGTAGCATTTAAAATATGGCTTTGTGCTTAAGGTAGCTATAATGGTTTTCACCATGGAAAATTTGGGAAAGCACCACAAGTGATGGAATCAAAGGTGTTCAAAACTTGATCACTCCGATTTGGCGCAGCTAGCAATCACATAAATGCCACGCTTTGTTTGATTTATCCCACTTGGATTGCAATTGGAAGTGCAGCCATGTGTCCATTGTGCAGAACACTGCATTTAAAACTTGGGACAGCACAACTTGAAAACTGCCATGGGAGAGGCCAGCACGAATTGTCACTATTCTTTGAAATGACCCATGCAGGTGCACAGATATACTGAGTGGAAAGGAGTTTTTTCATAGATAGTGATACGGCATGACTCCTTCTTGCAACTGGTTCCAAGTCAGTTTTTGGATCATTCAGAAGTTCCAAATTTGCATTCCTGAATAACTTTCGCGGTGGTTTGCACCTGCCTCTCATTTACATTGTAAAATAAAAGTTAAATGCCGTATGTTTGACAGACATAATTCTGGTTGCGGCCAATTAGTAGATCAGCTTTCACATCTGTTAGCACCCGTTTTTGCACACGCTAGCCGTTAGTAAACCGGGCCCAAGTCAGAAGAAACGTAAGACACTTCATAAGGTACACCTCCAACATTGAATCGGATCGAATCCAAGAGCTGGCATAATTTATTTTATTTTTTTTATAAATGTAACTTGTATGTACAATTGTAGATTAAATAGCTACAAAGCACATCATGAGGCAGAATGTGTTACAGCTCTTGTATTGGATCCCACTATATTGTACCGGTGTTCCTAATCAAGTGTCCAGTTTCTTCCTGCTTGCTAAGCTGTCCCTATTTCCAAGCATGTCATTTTCCTGATCGTTTGTGCATGATTCTTTGCATTTCTGCTTCATTTCCCCCCCACTAATGTTTCTTTCTTTCTTTCTTTCTTTCTCTCTGTCGCTGCCCTGCATCTTCTGTGTCCCTCCCTCTTCCCTGGTCTTTCCCTCCACTCTCGGCCTCAGCCATGAGAAGTCGGGCTCCTCGTCGGACGATTCCGAGCCTGACGTTGCTCCTGCACTTCCCTCGGGCCCCTCCTCCTCTCACCCCTCCACGACTCATAGCGCCCTCGTTGGGGGGAAAAGGTCCATACAGTTGCACCACTTCAAAATGTTCTAGACTAGAACATTCTACATAAAGTAACCGAATTTGTCATCCTCATACACATTTTTCCGATTGGCTGTTTTTAACTGGAAAAGAGCAATCCCCCCCCCCCCACACACAACACTGTATCGCATTAAAAAAAAAATCCACAATGTGGACAAAAGTTTTTGGATGTGTCATCCCACACCACAGGAAGTCAAACTGTAGGAAAGTGTACGTTTTTTTTTTTTTTTTTTTTTTTTTTTAGGAATTGGCTGTGTAATTATAACCAAATAAATTATACAATTAATAATTAGAATTCAGTATTTTGTTATCAAAATAATAGTATAAATACTGTCATTTTTTTTTTACTTAACAATTACACTCTTTCACCTCGTATACGAAAAATTTGGCCCATCCATACCTTTTAAGAATCATTTTAAAAACCTTGAGCACATAAGTGTGCCCACCCTTGGTCTACCATGAACCTGAACTGATTGATTAGGAGGGTCGTCCAACTACTTTTGTCCATACATTGCATTACCACGATCAATATCCCTCCTTTTCTTTATCTTTAGTCCAGTTCAAGCGCATGCACTCATCAGCTTTCTGTCCTTTTCTTTTATACCTACCTTCCTCCTGCAGTCCTCCTATGCACACTCACACCCCCTCACACCCACCCAAGACCACCCTATTAGAGACCCCACCTCTGGCGTTCACCCCAGTGGACCCCACCTCCGGTCCCAGACTGGTCAAATGTCAGCAGTGGCCCCTGTTAGGGCGCCAAGACCCCCGGGAGCCACCAGATCCTATCGATTATGAGAGCATCATCCCCGATTTGGAGAACGATGACATGTTCGCAAGGCGGACCCTCACCTTCCAGGCCAACAGCGAGCTTGCCACAGTGAAGACCCCGCTGTCAGCAAAGCGATGCCTTTGGACGTCGAAGGAACAGATCAATATTGTGACGCAGCTTCATAAGGAGGAGGAGGAGGAGGAATTTCCCGACATCGAGCAGGACGACGTTGTCCAACGTAGGGAGAAAATCGAGCAACAACAGCGCCCCCTGTCAGGCGCCCCTGACAACTTCTCCCCAATGGCCATTCCTGAGCCATGGGACCTCCCTCCTGAACTCAAGACCAGGCTCCTGTGCCCGCCATCCCCTCTCACCCAGGAGTCATCATCAAACAAATCCAGTCATGTCCAAAAAGAGCCATGTCCCGAAACGGACGATATGCTGGTCCGAAAGCTGGCTGCGCAGCATAACCAAGTGTCAGCCAATCAAGCGAGTCCCTCTGTGCCAACTTCCTGCAATGAAGGGGACCTGCAGAGGTGGCAGGCCATCAGGGAAGCTAGTCAGCGGAGATACAAGAAGAAGCTCATGGTGGAGATGCTAGCCACTCTCAAGTTGTAGGAATGAATTGCTGTTACATATTTCGCTTGAAATACTTAATGTCTCAACTTGGTAAGGATTTGTTTTCAAAGGTTTGGTTTAGGTCTGCTGCATTTGCTTCCAGACCACTGGGAAATTCCTTGTCTTTACAGTTTGTTGTTTCTTTAGTTACAGTTTTGGGTTGTTTTTTTTTTCAAATCAGATGTTTTCGTACAGTTTCCTATCGACTGGTTAATGGTCATATTAACAATGTTACACTGTATGTACAAAGGAGCAAAGGAACATGTTTGGGTGTTTTTTTTTAAGTGTGTTTTGTGAATACACCGTTCTTCCTCAAATAGTGGCCTCCGTATTGTTACCGCTGCGTGTTGTCTTTAACCACAGCTCATGGCAGAGCGGATTTGGCATTTGTTTAGCTGGTGTTTATGGTGGAGTTAAAAAGGAAGTTGGATGTAAACACAATCGAGTAGTTTCCTTTAAAGTGATAAGACACACGGTTTTTGCACGAGATGTCTTTTCAAAAACTGACGCTGCCAGCACTGCAGACATGTCATCTGTAAAGCCAACGTTTACCATCGAGTTGGAAGGAGAATGTTTGAAACACAACCAAGATGAAGAAAAAAAAAATACTTCATAGACAGACCATAATGTGATAATACATCAATGATGCCCACTTCTATTTTTAATTTTGTTCCACAAATAACATTATTTATTGAAGGTGATATTTATTGTAATAAATTAAGTCTGACTACAATAGATGCCTGCTACTCACTGCAGTTGAGTACATATATACCTCTGGCCTTTATACGCACAAATAACATCCTCTCACTAATAGATGCGTTACCCCGAATAGACTACGACTGTTTGCAGTTGAGCAAATAATACCTCTGGCCCTTATATGTGAAATACAATACTAATGTTAAACTTGGTTTGTACAACTAAAAGCCTCCACCAAATAAATACCTTTTGCCGAATACAGTTGATGCCTGTAACTCTCTGCAGTTTAGCAAATGCACCTGGCCACTGCGTGAGGAAATATAATAGTCGAATGCACTTTTGGAGGTTTTTCTCATCAGATTTCTTGTGGAATAAAAAAGAAAATACTGCACCTTTCCAGTATACTGAATATTTTTATGTTGTTTTGCATGGAATGCACCTTCCGTGCGAGTCATGGAACCCACTTAACACATTGAAGTCTTGCGATAGGTCGCGAAAGGCTTCAGATATTCCTCATTACACAAAGCAGCCGTTGAGGCCCCGTTGCATGGGCGTACGGTACTTCACTGTTATTTGTTAAGTTTCCAGGGAGAGTCTTGCAATAGTGAAAAAAAAATGATGTCATCCACCTGCACAAACACACACACACAGATGCGTATACACACCCTGGTGTAAAACCTGTGAGATGTTCACAAGTGGACAACATCAAGTCCCGTGTGACAATATGTGACACTCTTGTCTGTGGCTTCCCCCCTTCCTTCTTTGGTTTCCTAGACAACGGCAAGCATCAGACAGTTTCGACGGGTGAGTTGACACGGGCTGCCAGGAATGTGGCACATTTCGCTCGTTTCACGCTTTTGTGGCTGCTGCTGCTAAATGCTTAACACTTGACACACACAGTGTGGCGGCCATGGTCGGTGCTGCTGGGCTCTCGCAAAAGGTCCCTAAAGATCTGTTGTTGATAGATTTATGCTATATAACAATAGGTCACAAGTCTAAGAACTCTAATACTTCTCACATACATAAACAAAAACTGTTTTGTTTTGTTTTTTTTTTTTTGCTCAGGTGAGTTTGTGTGTGTACTACGTACATACAGTATTTGCCATTTTGCATTGTGGTCCTGGGGCTGTTCACTAACCAGCTGCGCGTGTTGCACCCAAGAGCGGTCATCTAGTGTAAGTGTGGCCGCAGGAATAAGGTGTGAAGTTTCTAAATGGCTGTGATACATTGTTGAGTGTGCTGTTCGGAGATATGGGATGCAAACTGTCAAACTATTACGTTCCCATAGAATTACTGGATATTACATTCACTTTAGCTAAATGAGTAAGAAAGGATTTCAAAATCCATCCATGATCTAATCCGCTTATCCTCACGTGTGTTGTGGTCATGCCTAGTATTTCAAAATGTACTGTATAGTAAAAGAAGTGTTTCTCTACAACCACGCAATCTGATTTTCATCAACAGGACTCTTATGAAAACAAAACATTTATGAACAGTGTTGTTTTTGGGGAGTGTAATATTTGACAGACAGAAATGTAACTGGGCATCCCTTTCGAACTGAAGCTGCCATTCCAGTGTTCGCCCTATTTTTGCTTCTAATTCTGATTTATTTTCCTAATTCTATTTTTTTTTCCCCTAGGAGCAAATCAACAAGTGACGTCAGTGAAGAACCTGTGTTGGTCAGACGGCTGTCTCAGTATGAAGCTCTCGAGAAATACCGCGAGCAGGTCAAGCAGAGCGATGATAAGTGGCAGGATGTGAGTGTGACACCCAAATGGAAAGAGACAGGAGGGGAGAAATGGACAGAACGGCAATCAGATAATTATAACCCCACATTTTTTTTTTTTTTTTTTTTTTTTTAAATTTAACCATGTTTTTAAAATGTCAGCAATACATAAAATGGAATTTACTTCGAGGACCTTTTTGTGACCCTTTTTGGGTAATCAAAAGACCACATGCTTCACAAAGAGACCACATCCAAGCCATCGAACTTTATTCATAGAGTGCTTGAAGGTCAACACCGGGGACCAAACCTGTTTGGGTGGGTCTTTTGAACTCATGTTCTTTCTTGTAGGACCTAAGCAAATGGAAAAACCGACGTAAGAGTGTCAACTCTGACATTGTTAAAAAGAAAGAAGAGCGGGAGATGGTGGAACAGATCACATCCGGCGGCAGCACCCGAAAGTCCAAGACCTACAAAGAGATGCAAGATGAGAGGTACGAGGGCAATACACACTCTGGCCACAGCAGTAGGTACCTCTCAAATGAAATCCTCTTGCTCCTTACTACCTTTTCATCATCCCTTGGCTCAACAGGGAGAACAGGCGAAGCAGCAGCATCGGCAGTCGCATCGGGTCGCTCAGTTTTGACAATGACAACGATGTATTTGAGAAACCGAAACCCCGTCCTCGAGACAGCATAAGTAGGAGCTACACTGTGGATACTTTTTATCACTCATCTGGCTCATCCAAGTCTGCTCAGAAAGAGGACAAGCCCCCAGAGGTCCCGCTCAGGTCCACGAAGCAGGGGTCTGATGTCGTAGATGCTCCTGGCGTGACCACCGCTCGCGGTTCCTTTCACAGACTCAAACCTTCCGAAGCCACGTCCTCCCTCAGGAGTTCAGTCTTTGAAAGCACGACCACAACAGAGGAGATCTCACGCCCTCCGAAAGCCTCACAAAAGGTGCCTGAGCCAAAGAGCCCAGTCAAGGTGCAGCCCCCATCTTCTGCTGCCATCTACAAACCATCGCTGCAAAGCAAGACAGAAGCCAATGCTGCAGCGGTTTCTCGGATATCCGCCTCCCTGCCTAGAAGCTACCAGAGATCGGATAGTGCTCGACTGTCATCAGTCGTCACTCCGAGACCTTTCGGGACCCAGCTATCCCGTGTAGGCTCACTTAACCGGACCGTCACAGTGAGTTCAGAACCCTTACATCCATTACCGTTTCCCATCAAAATCCGGTGGTACCTCACATCCAACCAGAATCTGTTACTCCAAATTTTTCAACTTTGGGGGCATTCAAACGTCTAGGTGGCAGTGTAGTTCACGTGCAATTTGTTGTTAGTCACAAATTGCGTTGGCAGAAGGGTGTAACAGGTACGACGTGCAATATTCATTCATTGTCGGCACATCTTTGTCCTACAGTCGTATGAGTCCAACAGCCGTATCAATGGCAACGCTGCTATTTCCAAAAACTCGTCGGTGCCGAGTCGCTATCACCAGTTCATGACCGCCGAAGATGAGGCCGAGTCGCAGTCGAGCCCCATCCAAAGCAGCGAGGATGACGATGACACTCCAGAGGAGACCACGGTGAAGAGTGTCACCTCCACGTCAAGCGTCTCATCCCGCACAGTTGAGATCAAAAGAGAAGTTTCAGCCACTGAACCCAGCAAGGTATTCCAGCACTGCCCTCATTCGGGATGAGGTGTAAAAATCAGCCCTGCTTTGAAATTTGAAAATTACTTTTTACGAAAACTACAGAAATGTTTCCTGATTTGACATTTGGTTGAGTACTGGAATTGCTTCAATGCTGACAAGAAGTCTGATTTCGTCTAGGGCTGCCATACTTATGATACATTGAACCTTATTTTTGTTATTTACCGGTATCTTGACTCTCGTGTGACTGGCTCTTTCCAGGAAAGTACGTGCGAGATGCGGATCAGCCTCAACCAGAAGCCCAACAGCAGTCGCGACTTTGGCTTTGATGTGGCATGGGACTCTAGCGGGGCTCACGTCAAGTCCATCCAACCAGGTATTGGCAAGAAGCATCGGAAACCCTCAAACCTTTTGTATAAAATTGATGGCACTTTCACACTGTGGTCACCTGGTTGGTAACATACAGAACATAAATAATGCAATAGTGTTAACAAAATGTGTTACACATGCATTACTTCTTCCGAGGAGGGCATTACATTATTGAGAATCACTGGCCTAGCACCATGTTAAGACAATTAGGTACCGTGCAGTGGAAAAGGTTATGTATGGTTCCTGTTTATCAGCATGTTTTCTAGTTCACTGCAGTTAAGACCTATGTAGGGCAGCATGTTTCTGGGACTGCTCTTCCGGCCCTGAGCGTCCCTTCCTGACTGAGACTTCCCCATCTGCGCAATGTTTATCAAGTTAGCGTCACACATGGTTTTTAAATTCAACTTGCATCCTGTCTGATTCTCATCCAGTCCTGTTGTATTTTCTCCCTCAGGCAGCCCAGCTGAAATGTTCCAGTTGCAGGCTGGGGACGAGGTGCTGACAGTAAATGGCCAACGGGTGGCAGACATGGGCTACCTGGATTGGAAGGCCAGCATGGACCGGGCTCTGCAGGAGGGCAGTTTGGTGATGGACATAAGGCGTTATGGCAAGAGCAGTGAGTCATCCGTGCAGTGCGTATGTGGAGGTGTGTGAGTGTGTGTCGGCCAAATTTAGACCATCTAATCAATATATAAACTGTAAAGACAAACGTATTGGGACACCACCGGAATTGAAAATGGAAGAAATTCCTGACCACCATTGCAGCTGTAACAGCTTCCACTCTTTGCGTGCGGAAATTTTTGTCCATTCATCCAGAGGTTTGTTCGTGAAAATAATTCCACACTGAACTGATCCAAGCATGCCATTGCGTCGGCCTGACCCAAATGGTTTCCTTGAAGATGGAACTCAACTCAACTGTATTTATCGAGCACTTTAAAACAACCACTGCTGTATCCAAAGTGCTGTACATGGAGCAAAAATAATGCATTCAACAACAAACAGTAAAACAATAAATTAAGAACAAAGACAGTAGAAAGCGCAAAAACAGCAAAACTAAAAGTCAAGTCTCGTGCTGAGTCAAAAGCCAACTATCCAAAATGTCACAACAAAATACGATTTAGTATGGCAAATAGCCCTGATTGATTTATATGGTACATTTACGTGTAGACAAATGACCATTCACACTCAATTCACTCCTATGGATTTATCCATCCATCCATCCATCCATCCATCAATCCATCCATTTTCTGATCTGCTTATACTCATAAGGGTCGCTGGAGTTGCTGGAGCCTATCCCAGCTGTCTTCTGGCAGTAGTTGGATTGCACGCTGAACTGTTTGCCAGCCAATTACAAGTCACAGTCACATAAAGACAAATACCCATTCGCACTCGTAATCATACTTAGGGACAATTTAAAATGTTCCATTAACCCGCCATGCATATTTTTGGAATGTGGGAGGAAACCGGAGCACCCAGAGAAAACCCATGCAACATGCAAACTCCACACAGAAAGGCCGGAGCCGGAATCAAACCCTGCATCTCTGTGCTGTGACATGGATGTGCTAACCAGTCGCCCACTGTGCCACCCGCTATGGAATTATGTTTTGTTGAATGTGGCAGGAAGCCGCTAAAAATAAAAAAGGCGAGAGAAGAGCACTGTGACATTTTACTCCTTGGGAATCCTTTTGACCTCACATGCCAGATAAACCAAGCCAATTTTCTCAACTTAACTGCATTTATAGAGCACTTTAATATAAAACAACCACTGCTGTATCCAAAGTGCTGTACATGGAGCAAAAATAATGCATTCAACAACAAACAGTAAAACAATAAATTAAGAACAAAGACAGTAGAAAGCGCAAAAACAGCAAAACTAAAAGTCAAGTCTCGTGCTGAGTCAAAAGCCAACTATCCAAAATGTCACAACAAAATACGATTTAGTATGGCAAATAGCCCTGATTGATTTATATGGTACATTTACGTGTAGACAAATGACCATTCACACTCAATTCACTCCTATGGATTTATCCATCCATCCATCCATCCATCCATCAATCCATCCATTTTCTGATCTGCTTATACTCATAAGGGTCGCTGGAGTTGCTGGAGCCTATCCCAGCTGTCTTCTGGCAGTAGTTGGATTGCACGCTGAACTGTTTGCCAGCCAATTACAAGTCACAGTCACATAAAGACAAATACCCATTCGCACTCGTAATCATACTTAGGGACAATTTAAAATGTTCCATTAACCCGCCATGCATATTTTTGGAATGTGGGAGGAAACCGGAGCACCCAGAGAAAACCCATGCAACATGCAAACTCCACACAGAAAGGCCGGAGCCGGAATCAAACCCTGCATCTCTGTGCTGTGACATGGATGTGCTAACCAGTCGCCCACTGTGCCACCCGCTATGGAATTATGTTTTGTTGAATGTGGCAGGAAGCCGTAGTATCCACAGCAAACCCAAGCAAACACGGAGAGAACATGCAAACTATGCAGAGGAAAGTCGGACCACAGATTCCAACCTCAAACCTCAATACATGTTTGCATTCATAGCCCCCTTTCTGTGTGATAGCACAATGGATGCTCTTAATTTCCACTTTGTATATCAAAAAAATCTACTTTATTGGGCCAAATTGTGTGTGTGTGTGTGTGTGTGTGTGTGTGTGTGTGTGTGTGTGTGTGTGTGTGTGTGTGTGTCGGTTAATGAGGCATTAAGGCGGTCGCATTCCTGCACTGACATTGTCGCTCGCACTCCTCAGTTTGCTAAACGATTGTGACACTCTAAATTGGTGCATAAAGTGTTTGTTGAATCATGCGTGAATGATCCCATGACAGCACTGTGGGAGGAGGCGTGAGGTGTCTCCATTCTTGTGACGATTGACTTTTGTTTCCTCCATGAATATTTTCTTGCATTCATCCACTCGGTGGTTTGTGGTTTCTCAATTTTTGTGGTCCCTTTTTCTTATCCGCACTCACACCTAACTGTTTCCATTGTGGTGGTAGCAACTCAGCTCAGGTCCGCTTTTTTCCCCACGGTGTTGGTCTGGCAGAGTATGTTAGTGTCATGCAACTTGTGTGAGAAATTGTGAAAGTGAAACAAGTGTGGCCCACACTGATGGGTGGACCTTGACTATGTTTGAACAAATCACAGTGTCCGACCACATCATAGTTGCCACCCGTTTCAAAATGATGCAATCAGCGGCGTCCACTATGACACCAATGAGAAAGTAGATGGCAATTAATGACCTTTATTTTGAAGCCAAAACACAAATGCATACACTGGGAATCTCAGCATAAAGTAACCTAACCAGGAAGCCTCCCAAAAACCCAAATTAGAACGTGTGGTACACAGAAGGGAAAAAGGGCAAAATTAATTGCTGTAACATAAGGGTAAAAAAAAAGAGTGAGTTTGCAGGATATTTCCATTTTATTTAATTTAAATCTGATCTGATTTTCTCATGAACATTTTAAATGCTTTACTAATTTATGGACATTGAATACAAACATCTATTTTATTTTTACTTGGATTATCTTTGTCTGAGATTTAGATCTGTTTGATGATGTTAAACATTAAAGAGGGGAAATTTGCAAAAAATAAGAGAATTTGAGAAGAGGGCATGTACTTATTCACTGCGCTGTACTTAAAAAAAGTGTCACGAACGAACAAATGTGCCCATGGAAAAAAAAACATTTTAAAACTACTGCACCCACATTAGCTCATTGGTTTGAAGACACGATATCTGGTGTTTGTCTGCTGAGTGGCTTATTCCAAACTGTTTGTGGGTGAATGACAGCTGTCATAAGCTTCATGGCTGAGGAAGGTGGTTTCTCTGTCCCGTTCCCCTATGCTGCTTTCTGTAACAATCGTCCCTTGCTACTCTCTGGCAAATTCCTTAGTCTTTGGCTTACTAGTTGCCACGAAAACACAGCTATTTAAAAAAAAAAAAAAAAAAAAAAATTAAAACATGTTCCTATTTTTTTCTCTGTCCCGTTCCCCTATGCTGCTTTCTGTAACAATCGTCCCTTGCTACTCTCTGGCAAATTCCTTAGTCTTTGGCTTACTAGTTGCCACGAAAACACAGCTATTTAAAAAAAAAAAAAAAAAAAAAAATTAAACATGTTGCTATATTGTCTGCATGCAGACTGGGACAGAGATCCGTCTTCCCCGCTATTCAAAGGCTATAAGACCATCAATCTGACCACTACGGATCATCCCATACTTGTAGGTTTCTCTGATGCCGGTGGTGCCATGCTAGATTTCACTTCGCTCACTGACACATCTGCCAAGGCCGCCAGCCACTCTCTAGTAGTAAGTGGACTGCCAAATGTTCACAGTTATTTGTCCGCCAGATTTTTTAACCAAAGGAGTACCTTTGTGCAGGATGTGGCTTCCAACGGCATCGGTGGTGGTTACCCCAAAGTGTCCATGATGACTCAAGGTAAGAACATGCAACCAATGAAGTCATGGTGACATATGAGTATATTATGTCTTGTTTTCCCCTGATTAAACCTTATTTCTCCCATCTCATGTGTAGAATCAGAGCCCATTTCTATGATAAACTTAAAACGGAGATCAGAGTTTTTTGAAAAAGGTAACAAAAACATGTTCTAATCAAAGTTTGTGGCTTTTTTTGTTGTTGTTTTTTTATGCTTCTATCTCATGCAACAATTTCTCAGACTTGAGGTGATTTGCTTTGCACGCTTTCAAAAGGGAGTCCTACCTGGATATGTTTTGGGCCCGCATTTTTACCTTGTCCGGTTCCAGAGGTCGTTCTTTCATTCTTCAGGTGTCTCAGAATCAAGGGTCAATGTGCTGGTCTGCCTCTGTGGTAGGCACAGCCTGGACCTCAGCACCACTACGTGGAGGCCATAATGTTCAAGCATTGGAGGGACTCGTGACCTTCGCATTTGGGGCATGTGAAGGGACGACCCCTCAAATACAATGTTATCTTCATTACAGAAAAATGAATTTTGGAAAAAATAGATGTATACATTTTTCATCAAGTGGAAATATTTTTGGTAAGTTTTCAATTCATGATATCATAAAAATGACAAATTTGAGTCTAAAATGAAGAAAAATATTTTAAAATGAATGGTTACTTTTACATTGATATTAAATGAGCAAAATGCATCTTGTATTGTTAAATAAAGGGCGGATATTTATTCTGAGGAGAAAAATAAACACTTTTTCAACATTTTCCACTGATTGTAACATTAAAAGTTTTTGTTTTTGGTAACATTTTCAATTTGGGTGCAAAAAAAGAGCTGAACAGTATGTTCGACCCAAAAGCAAACTTCTCACTTTTGTGGTGATTATGCTGTGTTTTTTTTTCCATTTGTCTATTTTGATATTCATATATAAAGCGTGCACTTTTTTACTTTGCTATGCACAATAAAAGCATACTCCTGCCACGCTCTCAGCATGTTGAACCTTCTTCACTTCCCCTTCTGCATGCCAATCATTCTCTTCTTAATTTTCCCCATTCCCAACAATGGATCTCTGATGTCCATCAATGTTTGATGTATATCGACTGATGCTGAGTGGAAAGAATCAATAAGTCTGAATGAGCCATACGCGATATTTGTTTGTTTCTCATAGCTTGTTATTCTCATTGTTACTTTTCATGATCAGTCAGTGCTTGACTGAGCAATAAAAAGTAAATAAGCCTGTCAGCAGCCTGTTAAATTGGGAGCTGGCCTCCAGGGTGCCTTGAATTAATCTTCCATGGTGCATGACACAAATATTGACTGGATGGTTTTGTCTTTTTTTTTTTTTTTTTTTTTAATGAGCAGCAGACTCTGCCATGCCAGATGTAAGTACCACCATCAGTGCATTGACATTATTATACATGACTGTATTTCCTCAAATAATGGGCTTCGCTCAGTTCATTGCCGTAAATGAGATCACTCTTTTTGTAGCATATGCACCGACTATCGTGTACAGATTTTTAAGGAGCTTTATCCTCTCCATCCTCAGATACCCGTTCCTCCAATCACTGCGTCTTCGACTCGTTGGTCTTGGGATCCAGAAGAGGAGCGCAGGAGACAGGAGAAGTGGCAGAAGGAGCAGGAGCGCCAACTACAGGTACATTTAAAACTAGAAGACAAATGATTTAAGGTGTCGAAATGTCAATGTTATTGTTTTGTCATGAAGGAGAAATATAAGCGTGACCAGGAGAAATTGCAGGAGGAATGGACAAAGGCCCAGCAGGAGATCTCCAGCAGTTTCCCACAATCCGAGGTACCACATCATATATTTAAACTGCTGAAGTAAATTATACACTAACATTATAGTCATTGTATTGGTGCTATCCAATGCTCTAATTTTGACAGTCTTTTTTTGATACTGTCGGATAAAAAAAGATGACAAATTGTCTGAAAAAAGAAAAGAAACAGTAACGTTCACTAAAGTTCCTGATATAGGATTTTTAACATGTTTTTTATTAGTTTGTTACAAGGGAGTGCAACTTTAAAGTTTTAGCTTTCCTCCAATTGAACCTCATGAAATCAATGTGGACTGGTAATGTGGACGTCAACACCAAAAAACACACTAGACCAAAAAAATTCCCTTTTTCAGTTAGACTTGTTCCACAATCTTATCATCCCCTCATAGGAAGTAAAGAAATATTTTGTTGTGATGTGGTTCCTCTTCCTCTTCATGTGTTCAATCACGCCTCTTTTCGGTGTCTCGTGCAGCCTGTGGGCTCAACCCTCGCCTACCGGGAGCTGCAGCAGGAGCGAGAGAGGCTGGAGCTAGAGAGGAAGAGGAGGGAGGAGGAGGAGGAGCAGGAGCGCATGAAGCTGGAGATGGAGAGGAAGCTGAGAGAGGAGGAGTTTGAGCGCCAAAGGCAGGAGATGAGGAGGCGGGAGGAAGAACTCGAACGAGAAAGACGGGAAATAGAGAGGAAGAGGAGGGAGCAGGAGCAAGAGCTGGAGCGCCAAAGGCAGGAGATGAGGAGGAGGGAGGAGGAGCTGGAGCGTCAAAGGCAGCAGGAGGTGGAGAAAAGGAGGAGGGAGGAAGAGCTTGAACGCCTGAAGCTAGAGGAGGAGAGGAGGAAGAAGGAAGCGGAGGAGGAGCGCCAAAGGCAGGCGGAAGAGGAGAGGAGGAGGATCAGGGAGAAGGAGGAAGAGGAGGAGAGGAGGAAGAGGGAAGAGGAGGAGCTTCTGTGGGAGAGGAGGAGGGAGGCAGAGAAAGAGGAGCTGAGGAGGAGGCTGGCGGCTGCGGACGAGCAGCAGTGGCAAGAGAGACACAACATCTTCGAGGAGCAGAGGTCATTATGTTTGCTGTTAAGATCAATCAATTATAAATACATAAATACATAACGATCTTGGGGATGGTTGTTTACAAATCAGTCACTCAGGTAAAAAGAAAACGTTTTTAAAAAGACAAGGTAAGTTACATTTACACTAGACATAAAGATAATTTTCAAACAAAAATAGTGTTGAAAAAAATTACGCTTGAAATGTTAGTACAAGAAAAGCGCCAGTATTATTGATTTGATATATGTAAAGCACATAGCAGACAAATCAAATATTTGAAAGAGGGCAAGGAAGTTTTCATGTCACTAAAATGCAAAAGAAAAGGAAATGCTAAATTTGGACAAAAATAAAATATCTAAATAAAAGATAATATACCTACCAGGTGTGTGTGTGTGTGTGTGTGTGTGTGTGTGTGTGTGTGTGTGTGTGTGTGTGTGTGTGTGTGTGTGTGTGTGTATATAGAGAGAGAGAGAGAGAGAGAGAGAGAGAGAGAAAATCAAATCATGTCAATGAAAGTAAAAAACTTCAGCTACAATAACATGCAAACGAATATAATGTAAAATCCAGGTAAAACAATCAGGGAGCTTTCAAAAACTTAACAAAATAAATTATGAGGAAAAATTACAAAAGGCACAGTGACACTAAGTTTGTAATTGAACCCAACATCAAATATACATGTAAAAAATACAAGTCATTGATAGTTGTCAAACAAGACAAATGTAAATAGGGTCATTTAAGAGAAGTTTACAAATAAACGTAAAGACGTGGAAAAAAAAAAGCGTGTAATTTTGCAAACACTTTTTTTGATTGTGTGTGTTTTTGTTTGTTTGTTTTACAGGGCTAAATCGCTTGACAATGAAGAAAGACTTCCGAGCAGCGGTCAGTGAAATACACTTTACAATTATCCCAAATTCTTTGACCCTTTAATAGACTCCACTGAGCCAGTGAGGCACACGTAAACCTCACTTGTGCGCCGCCGCCATAGGTGTGTTTGTGTATCGGTCCAGCGCGGTCCACTGGTTGCTGGAGGAGCAGGCCAAGAACACACGCGACAAAGTGGCACACGGTCAAAGGGCCGTAAGCGAATTGGAAAAGCAGAGGAGGAATCTCCTCAATGCCAAGAGATACAGGGAGCCTGAGAGAGGTCGGCTCCGGCCCCCCCGCAATCTATGCCTCTGATCGGCCTCTCAATCGAAACATTCCAATCAGCATGCGAATCAGACGATCCAAATCAGAATTGATGAACTTGATCAAATCTGACTTGCAAATCTCAGAATCAACATTCAGGATGCTTTAATATCTTTTGAATGAACTGAAACCAGATTATGGACACATGTGAATGCTTTAATCCAGCACACCAAATGCAAAGAGCTGTCATTTTGTTTGGATTTCTGCCAGCCGTATTGGTAGATCAAGAAATGACAAAAATTAACACTTGATAATGTTAGCTATGTTGCTGCTGTAATATACCGTATTGGCCCGAATATAAGACGGGCCTGATTATAAGACAACCCCCTCTTTTTCAAGATTCAAGTTTGAAAAAAGACTTTTTGAACACCAAATTAATTTTTATACAGTACATCTGAAACAAATGATTATAACAATACTGTATATTTGAGTGAAAAAGCATGTTATTTTGCCTCATTCAAATCTTAATATCTGAACATTTAAATATGTAAACTAAAGTGCAATCACATTCGTAAATGAATGGCTTCTGGTTTTTGAAATGTAAATGACATCATAACTTCTCCTCAGCTGCCGGTTAACCTGGCCGATCTTCGACCCACTTTTCTCCAGATTGTCGCTACGTTTCTCCATTTTCTGTTATCTCTTCTATTATTTTCTTCTCTTTTCTTTCTTACCGCTATTTTTTTATTTTTCTTCTTCGTGCTCCCGCTATTTTTATTTTTATTCTTCGTGACAGGGGTTCACTTTGGCCTGGGGAGTCAAGTTCAGCATTCGCTTCAATGATATCTGGCGCCATCTAGCGTCATGAATGGGTATAATGTCTAGACCCCGAATATAAGACACCCCCATTTTTTCCGTCTTATTTCAATGCAAAAAACACCGTCTTATATTCAGGCCAATACGGTACTCCATAAGCCTGCGGCTCACCGAGCGATATGGCTGGGATGCAACTCATCTGTCGCTCCGTATGCGGGGGTGTGGTACTCGTTTTCATGAGTTAGCCACTCGCACTGTCTGTCCCCTTTGAGGTTTTTGTCTTCATCGATGATGTCTGGCTTTTCGTTGTTTGATGGCAGTGATAGGCGGTGATGTGGTCGACACAAAGTTTGCGCAGCCGCCATCGCAGGCGGAGCTCCAACGCCAGCAGCTCCTGAACGACATGAGGAAGAAAACTAACTTGCTGACGGACAGCAGCTGGATCCGCCAACGATCCGCCACCACTCCTGGCCACGACGACCTGCCATCAACACGCAGGTATGTCAAGCGGCCTGGTTGCCGGCGCTGCTGGTGTGGTCTCGCTAACACCGAGGTGTGCAGGTTGTGGGTTTCAGTGCTGGGGTTAACTGGCAAAATTGGGCGTGGGCTTGGCTTTGTAGGGGCGGCTCGCTTGACCACCTGGATAAACCCGTCAACTCCTGGCGTTCGTCGTGGGCTCCCAGGAGCGAGTCTTATATTCCAAACTACTCCAGGCCTCACTCTGCCATCTACGGCAGCGCTCCCCTTTTCGGCGGCGGGCCGCCGGGGGCGGGTTCCGGTGCAAGCTCCCTGCCCCCCTCCTTCCGGGGCCCGGCGGTGGGAACGACCCCTTGGTCTCGACAATCGGCATCCCCTTTGCCATCTTCTGTGTCTCCCACCACCTCTTCAGAATCTGGTCCTGACGCAGGGGGTCAGCGGCAGCGCAGCAGGTAGACTGGGACTTTGCTGGTGTACCGGGTCTCAACAGAGGTGATGGTGCAGCTTGAATGGGAGTGCTGGCTAAAGCTTGAGTGTATTTTTTATTTATTTTTTATTTTTACAAAGAGCTCCACTTATTTTTTTGGCAGGCACTGGAAAGCCTGCAAATGATTCTTCTTTTATTTTGTTAAAAAAAAATATATGTATCATGTAGTTCACTTTGTTAATGTGTTTAAAAGGCACGTCCACTCCATTTGGAATGTTGACCTCTTTCATGCACTCTGTAACCTGATCACATGATAAGCTGTCCACTGTAGTGACCGCTGTCCCTGAAAGGGTTCAAATATCATCCATACGAACGTGCTTTCCAAGCTGTGCATTGTGTGATGCAGGTCAGTGAGCGGTAAGAAAGTGTGCACCTTGTGTGACACGGCGCTGGGAAAAGGAGCAGCCATGATCATCGAGTCCCTTGGGCTCTGTTATCATTTGAACTGTTTTAAGGTGAGACCTTCACACCTTCTGACTAGTTCACGCTTCTCTTTATCTTGAAAGTCCCGGATATAGTACATTTCAAAGTGAGTCCTGATTGCCCTTTTCACTTGATTGACATCAATGATCAGCATTATTTCAAGTGACCAAATATTTATATCCACCTAAATTCATCAAACATCAGCTCATGTTTCATTTGAGTTTGTTTGTTTGTTTGTTTTTTATGTCTGTCTGAGCTTGTTGCCGTTCTTGCTTTTACAATCTCACTGACATTTCAAAAAAATTAATTCACCTGTTGCTGAACCTAACCATTAAGGAATCAATATTACCAAAGGTATTACTATATATTGAATATTACTTTTATTGTTATGGTGGTGATGATAATGATGATGATGATGATGATGAAAAAGCTGATGTGCTAGAGGAAAAAAAAAAGGGAAGATTCTGAATCAGTGCAAAAAAAAAATTTCAAGACGACGTAACTTGCATCTCTAGTTAAAATATTCAGTAAAAATGTGTCATGTTCCATTTTGACGAAGAAAGTTGATAGAATTTTGCTATCCATTGGGTAGTGTGTCACTTACATAGTTAGCTCAACTATTTGATAAGTCAGTAACTTCATTGGTCAGTAAATTAGTTGGTTAGTACCTGGCATGGTCAGTCTGACTGTTGTTTGGTTGATTGGTTAGTCAGTCAGTTCGCCAGTCAGGCTATTCGTTGGTCGGTTATTAGGATTTAAAAAAAAAAAAATCGGAAATGTAACGATGTTTGAACAATCAACTTTGTGTTCGTTTCCAGTGCATCGACTGCAAGTCGGTCCTCGGGGGATCGGAAGCCGGGGCGGAAGTCCGAATCCGAAACAAACAGCTCTACTGTAACTCCTGCTACATGCGATTCAAAAGTTAGTCCTACCGCCCATCTTCTTTTCTTTCGTCCACTCGTGGCAATTCATTTTCGGGGTTGTAGTTGCTCCAGTCAATCATCAGTGAGTTAGTTAACTTTAGTTGAGTTAGTTTGTGTGTTACTTAAAATGATTACAAATTAGTACTGTGAATCGTGCCAAGTAACAAGGGCCCAGGCCCATATGTGACATTGCTGCACCCGCGCGTGAGCTACATTTTCATAGTTTTGTGCCGTGTCTTCCAGCTGGCCAGCCCACGCCAATGTGACTTGTGGGTCCTCCAGAAGATCGACTAGGAGACCACGGGCAACAACAACCCGTGATGCCCCCGCCTCACCTGGCGCCAAATGGCCAACTTCTACATCATCATTCTTGAGATTTTAATCATTTGTGCTGTTTTTTTTTTCTTTTTAAGTGGGTAAGACCGGTGTGTGTTTTATGTGCAAGATGTGAAATTTTACAGCTGTACAAAGGGTTCGTCTTCTGCATGCATTTGGTTACTGCGGGGATGGGAAAAACCAAAGCCTGTGGGTTCATATGCAGCCATGGTGAACGTTAATTCTCTCATAAAAAATATCGTATTTTTTTCATAAATGCAGTTTGGCACTTGGAGAAAAAAAATGCTCCTCAATCTTACTACCACATCTTCCTTTTAATTATTATTTTTATGAAAACTAGTCGTGTTCAGTTTTCATCTGCCTACTTATGTGCCTTTATTTCTGCCACAGGGAAAAGTCATTAGGACGACTATTATCGTTATCTAAACTGTATTTAATAAGACGGAATATTACACGGGTTGTGAAGAATATATATGTGATGATGGCACAGAAATTTGTAAATAAAGACTTCAACGCTGATCTTGGAAAGGTGTGACTGCGGTGTTGGATTCCAGGTGTTTGGGTGGAATTTCAATGAGGCAATTGGTCACGCCCATTTGATTCCACAAGCGGCGTTCTGTGACGCTTTTGACAAGTCATCTCCGCAAATCGTGTTAATCCCGCCATCGGAACTGTTACACGAGATCCAATTTGCAATGAGCGTTGATTGAAGATTTTTACGCTTGCCTCACTTGCTTCCTCGACACAACGGTTGGAAATTGTCCTTGTCGTTGTGTAATTGAGAAGAGGACTGGAATGGAAATGAGTCAGAAGGAGGGGGCAGTGAGGGTTGTGGGGGGGGGGTGGAAATTGGCTCTGTCAGTCTCACTGTGGAAACGTCTCAAATTCTTCTGTCCTCCACTTTGGATTTTTCTTGGCGCTCTGCAGCGGGAGAGATTTTAAATCCGACTGCTTGGAAAACAAACTCAATCTCAATTGTGTCCTGGATGGGGAATATGAACCCAAACAGGACACTTTTTCCCCCTTCTACTATGACATTGGAATGTTCTGGAGTTGATTTTTACCAACTTGTTGGAAAATGCAGTTCCTCCCAAGGACCTGCACTGTATAATGTATGCATAATTATTAACCACATACATTTATAACCACAAATATGCAAGATATTGCCAATAAAATATATGCGCCTGACAATTCAAAACTTGAGTTGCTCCACAATGGGAGACCATTTCGACTTCCAGTAGCTTTTGGGGAAGAAACGAGAAAACAACCAATTTGTCTGACCTCGGCTACCTGATAGATTTTGAGGCCTAAATCCCACAAAATCAATAGTAATCATTTCAGGACAGGTGTTTGCTACTTTACAATCATAATATTGAGTTGTAATTATTGAATGAACATATTACAGTGCTGTATGTGGAGGGTTTTTTTTTTTTCTGCCGTAGCTGAAACTCACCAATAGGTGGTACTACGGCTCCAAGTCAAAAAAAATGCCAGACTAGTGTTTGGACACTCATGTCCTACATGTCAAGGAAGTATTAGTCATGACTTAACATGTCAATTCGGAGAAAAATGCGCTTTATTATTATTTGGGATCCCCCGTTAGCTGTCATAAATTGACAGCTACTCTTCTTGGGGTCCTTACCCGTACAATTTGTCACTATCAGGTCAACCGCTTTGAGGACAGGATACATTTCAAGTAATTTACATAGATTTTCTCACACTTTATCAGAGATGTTTATGGTAAATTTTTAAACGTAATTCTTTTAAACACCAAAATTAAGCAACCGAATTGACTTATTAATTGTAATATTACATTTTACAAGTGCAAATATGCAGTTTAATCATTTTCCTGTTGATATCCTTCCATTCTCTTGACATTCATTCAGATTGAAAGTTTTCCTTCATGTTGCTCCTTGTTTTCATTGCCCTAATGAACAAAACTGAAATTTGGGTCACAAAATGGGAAGCAAGTCAAATTTGTGTGTGTGTGTGTGTGTGTGTGTGTGTGTGTGTGTGTGTGTGTGTGTGTGTGTGTGTGTGTGTGTGTGTGTGTGGGTGTGTGTGTGTGTGTGTGTGTGTGTGTGTGTGTGTGTGTCTGTGTCTGTGTGTGTGTGTGTGTGTGTGTGTGTGTGTGTGTGTGTGTGTGTGTGTGTTTAATCCTCAATTTATATATACTTAATGTGTGAGTCAGTGTAATGGCAATGAAAGCACATTTTTTTGGGTAGAATGTGTCTTTCTACATTCTTCGCACTGGAAAATACTTTTTTTTGCAATGAGCGGGCTTACCTTCTTGTCACGTCACACTAGTCACAGTAGAATGCTTCTTCTTTGGGACTATTTTGAGAGGGAAATATTTAGTTCATTTCGGACTTTCAAATTGCCTTGTGGTGGATTTCATGCATCAAGGACACTGACTGAAAGGGTGTAAAAATCCAAAACGACTCAAAGAAGCATGAAATCACATTTGAGGGCCCAGTTTGCTGTGTTGCTCTGAATCATGTTATTTGGGTGACTTCATTATTGCCCGAATTATCCTGATGCTTTGATAATTAGTTATGTGACCTGTAACCGTGTGAGTGTGCCAGTCATAAAGTCAATCGACCATGCAGTAATTTAAAAGGAAAATAAAGCCCAGCTAAGGTCAACCTGTAAATGCCACTCTCTCTGGAGAACCACAGAATGTTTACGCCTGTTCTGGAACAAACATGTACCCAATTATTTTCTATGGTGGCTGTTCTAGCAATCAATTTGTTCCTTCCAATCTTTATACCACCGTCACGAAGAGGAGAGAGCTGTCGAAATAGGCCAGGGACAACCAACACAAATCTGGAATATTTTCTGAGTTACGATGAAGTAGAGTCCACAAGCTCCCCCTGCTTAAAATGACACATGAACTGTGGAGGCCCTAATATCTCATGAAATGAATCAGAGTGAGTGCTGTGGTCAGATGAAACCAAAGTCGAGCTTCCTGGTACTGACTCAGCCCACCGTATTCGGTATGGGGGATGAAAGAATTTGAGTGTGACCCCAAAAAACACAAGCCTCACACTTGAAGACTAACTGTGATATCTCAGGTTGTGCATTCTATTCTATCCTTGAGGTGTTTGACAATATTAATATGATTTGCGATTTTTTAATTTGGTGGAGCACATGATTTAAAATTAATAGTGTTCTGAAAAGGGTAAAAATGGGTGGATTTTACTGCTTAACTAATCACAAACACAATATTAAACAGAAGACAGTGTTTAGACGAGTGGAGATGCATAGAACATAACACGATAGAGTTGCATTGCCCGTTCGAAAAATTAATTACATGCATCTGACTTGCAGTATGAGACCCTGTGGCCAGCCGCTGTCCACATTTTTTATTTATTTTTTTGCTCCGGATATATTTTCACCAGCGGCCCTCCGGCGACGTGTTTGGACACTGTCTCACGGCGGATGTAGCTGTTAGCAGTTAGCCAGCCTAGTTCATAGGCACAACGGTTGGTTGTTCATTGGCGACACAAGGATCAACTTCAAAATAAAAGTGAAGCAATGCCTGACTTGGCTTTTCTTTGAAAGTATGAAGCAATTGTTCTATCACCTCTTTGACTTCAAATTGAGCAGCCTCAATTTTTCAGCCGCAAAAGCACACTGAAATCATTGTCAACATCACCAGACTCAAAATCAACAGAGAACTTGTTTGGCCAGAGATAATGTGAATAAGTTATGGATCCATCCATCCATTTTCTAGAGCAAGTATCCTCATTAGGTTTACGAGGGCGCTGTAGCTTATCTCAGCTCACTTTTGGCAAGAGGTGGAGTTCCGCTTGGACTGATCACCAGCCAGTCGCAGGGCACATATTGACAAGCCTGTTCAGACCTATTCATAATTTAAACTCGTTTCATCTCACTGAACATGACACTTTTTCACACGGTTGCTTCCTTTTATTCACAGATTGGTATCCTTGAGGACAAATCATCGTCAAATCCTGTTGCTAATTAACAGATAATCACTCTCCCTCTTGAGATATTGATCTGTGACCTTTTGCGGATCAGCACAGATCCGAACAGTCACGAATAAAGGCCCCTCGCGCTAATCCCCTCACGCTAAAGGGCAACGCTACAAACGAGGTGAGGGGGCCGTGTGACGGCTGCAGGCTGCGAAGCACTTAAAAAAAAAAAATGAATAAATAAAACATCTCCTGGAGACAATCCATCGTCTTGTTTCTCACTCATCCGCTTTATGACAGAGGACACATTAGTTATCTCAAACAAAACGGGACTCCTGTGGGCGCTACGCCAGTCTTAGGATGCTAAGCAGGCGCTTTGTTTTTAGCTTTAGCCCTCCGTAGGTGAGACATCGCTGCTGTTTGCTACGTGACCTGTAAAGCTCCCATTTCTCGGTGTAAGTGCAGATTCAAATGTTTTAGTAGGTGGCTCTGGACATAAGACCTGCGGATCACAAACTATACTTCTTCAGAAGATATAAAAGAAAGGACAAAATGTTGCTCTACATCTTAGTAAGATAAGATAAGATAAGATAACATTTATTTGTCCCACACTGATGAAATTTGCAGTCTCCAGCAGCAAAATTGTGGGGGGGTAGAAATTATGTTGTGCTGTGTATGTGTATGTTTTTTGCTCAGTGTATGTAGCAGCACAGAGGGACTGTCCTCCGAGACAAGTTTCTCCTATGGGAGACCTAATAAAAAGTCAAATCAAATCAAAAGAAAAAAACAAAGTGTTGCATGCACAAAATAAATAAATGTTGTTGATTTGATTGAATTGATGATATTCAATTTATTTGTGTTTCTGAAGCAATTTAGGGCAGTTGCCAGTTTTTTGTGGAAAAAAAAATGTTGGGTACGGTTGCTCAGTTTGGTGTGGGTTTCTAACGGGAATTCACTGCTCTGAAGTTTAAGTTCCGGGGGATGTTGAACATGTGTTTTATGAGTAGAGATGTGGCTTCTATCTGTGTTAAGATTATGTTTGACTTTAAAAAAAATAACATGTTAAAATACCATGACTTAAAAAAAAAAAAAACTAGTGCTCCATACAAAGTGCTGTGTATGGAGTAAAAATTAGACATAGACAGCGAAAACAATAAATGAATAGTAAAAATAGTAAACACTTTAAACCGCTTAAACAATGCCAAGTCTCATGCTGAGTCAAAAGCCATAGCATAAAAATGTGTTATACACGAGATAAAGGAACAATGACTGACTGACGGAATGACAGCCAGACAATGACGGGCGAGAGGCCCAGCCGCTCGTGAGTGATGAATGACAAAATTTACTGATGCACCCAACTCTGATCATTATTAATAAAACTTCAAGAATATATAGTTAGAAATCCTTAATACATTAAAGGGGGAGATGATTAAAGCAAATAAAACATCAAACTTGGTTTGAAATATTCTGTGTTGGTTACATCTTTGTGTATAGTGCACTACTTAGCTGAAACCAGCAGAGGTGCTGTTGCGTCACGCTCATCAAATTTCTTGACTAAAAACATGGCTCCTTCTTAAGACACTGACATT